AGTAGACTTTAATTACTGTCTATCTTCTATCACAGTCAATAACATAAAAGAAGCTACTTGAAGGAGGAAATTCAAAACGAATTGCAAATGTAAAATCTTAATACTCGCCCCTAGTTTGGCCCTGTCATATTTCACAGAGGAAGCAATTGCTTCACGTGCGTGTTGCTTCTCTCATTTTGACTTGTGGGATATGAGTGCTTAGATGGTGCGCCTGAATTTTGTTCACACCACTGCAGTCAAATCTTGGGGCAGCTATGCTTACCCAGGGCCCCCAGACTTCATTAGCAACTTAGGATCAGCAGAATCAAAACAATGGCAATGGTTTCTTTGCTATGTTTTGGGTTCATTTTCTTTACAGCATCGTTTTCTGGTTACTTTTCATCCTCTATTCTTGTTATTTAATTACTCATATCCAAGTTCAGGCTGAAGCTAAAGAAAATTAAAGCAAGTCAACAAGAGACAAAATATGACCTAGAACATATCCCACCTGAACTTAGAGACCATCTCAAGTACAGATTTGATGTATTAGACAGTAATGACTGAAGACCAGAAGAGTTGTGGGATGACATCAAGATCTTCGTACAGGAAGAAAGCAGAAGGTTATTAAGAGGAAAAGAAAGAAGGAAAAGACCAAAATGGATGCCACAGGAAACTCTGAGCATAAAGATTCTAAAGCAAATGAAAGAAGTGAGGAGGTGAAAGAACTGAACAGAAAACATTTCAAAGGTTGGCATCAGAAGGCATAGTCAAATATTATAAAGAAATGTGCAAAGACCTGGAGTTAGAAAACCAAAAGGGAAGAACACACTCAGCATTTCTCAAACTGAGTAAATGAAGAAAAAATTCAAGCCCCAACTTGCAATATTGAAAGAATCTATGGACATAATATTGAATGATGCAGAAAGCATCAAAAGAAGATGGAAGGGATACGCAGAATCACTGTGCCAAAAACTATGGTCGATGTTCAACCATTTAAAAAGATAGCATATGATCAAGAGCCAGTGGTACTGAGGGAAGAAGTCCAAGGTATACTTAAAGCATTGGCAAAGAACAGGGCTCTGGGTTGAAATTTTATGCAGCACTGGAGGCACTCACTCATCATCTCTGCCAACAAATTTAGAAGACAACTACTTGGCCAACTGATTGGAAGAGATCCATATTTGTGCTCATTCCAAAGATATGTGACCCAGTTGAATGCGTAAATCATCGGACAATATCATTAATATCACATGCAAGCAAAATTTTGCTAAAAATAATTTTAAAACAACTGCAAAGGTACATTGACAAGGAGCTGTTAGAGGTTCAAGCCGGATTCCAACGTGGACATGGAAAGAGGGATATCAGACGTCAGAGGGATCTTGATTAAAAGCAGAAAATTCCAGAAAGATGTTTACCTGTGCTTTATTTACTATGCAAAGGCTTTTGATTGTGTGCCTCTTTAGAAACTGTGCACAACATTGCAGAGAATGTGTATTACAGAACACTTTTTCGTGTGTTCAGTTGTGTCCATGAAGAACCTGTACATAGACCCGATAGGCTGTCGTTTGTACAGAACAAAGGGACACTGAATGGTTTAAAATCAGGAAAGGTGCATGCCAGGATGTATTCTTTCACCAAATTTTATTCAATCTGCATATGAAATAAATATTCCAAGAAGCTGGATTATATGAAGAAAAAGTGGCACCAGGATTGGAGGAAGACTCATTAACAGCATGCAATATGCCAATGATACAACCTTGCTTGCTGAAAGCAAAAAGGGCTTAAAATACTTACTGGTGAAGATCAAAGACCACAGGCTTTGTGTGGGTTGCACTTCAGTGTAATGAAAGCAAAAATTCTCATGACTGGACCAATAAGTAGCATCATGATAAGTAGAGAAAAAAATTAAGTTGTATTAGACAAATCTACTAACCAATACCTCTTTTAAGTGTTCAACACACAGATGTCAGTTTAGGACTAAGGTGCTCATAATCCAAGCCATGGTATTTTCAATAACTTCATATTTGCAGCAGTACAAGTCAGAAAAAACTCAAAGTTGATTGCTGTCGACCAGTGTGTCAGCTCAAGCCCAGATCACTCTGACCCCGAAGTGAGGATGGAACAGGGTTTTATACAAGAAACACAGACTTGTCTTGTTCAGCTGGGATGGTAAATTCCAGCAGACCTTTATCCTGTAAGTGAGAGTAAACCCACCAATAAACCCTTATCTTGGTTGTATGGATGGGCTAAGTTTTATTCTGTTTGTTCAGCTGTCCTTGGGTCATTCTGGCCTTCAAGATTTTTCTGTAAGAAGTTTATTCATTATTTTTCCATAGGGTGGTGTAGGGGGGAGGGGGAGGAGGCATCAGGGTGAACTATGCTATAATATTTCAAATGGCAAATGGGGGCTATTAGTTATACTATAATATTGCAAATGGGGGGTATTAGTTATACTGTAGCACATATGCATGTGAAAGTTGCATAAGGAAGATCATAGGAATATCTGAGTTATGGTGTTGTATAAGAATATTAAAAGTACCACAGGCTGACAGAAGAACATCAAATCTGTGTTGGAAGAAGTGTAGATAGCATGCTTCTTAGCAGTCAGGATGGCAAGACGTTTTCTCTCCTACTTCAAGCTTATCAGGAGGGACCAGATCTTGGAGAAGGACATCCTGCTTGGTAAAGTGGAGGGCTAAAGAAAGAGTAAAGCCCTCAGTGAGATGGATTGACCTAGTGGCAGAAGTCATGAGCTCAAGCGTAGTAATGACTGCGAAGAACGCACAGGACTGGGCAGTGTTTTGTTCTGTTGTACACAGAGTCCCTGGGAGCTGGAACTGACTCAAAGGCGTCTAACAACCACAGAAATGTTATGGGGTCATGGAGGCGCCATAGGAGAAGCAGTTGACTGTGAACCATAAAGTTGGCAGTTTGAGCCCACCAGCCACTTCGTGGGAGACACATGAGGCTTGTTGCTCCTACAAAAGATTTGCAGCCTCAGAAACCCTGTACAGGGTAGCAGTGAATCAAAACAGACTCGATGGCACTTAACAATTATTCTTGCTATATTCACATGACATTCTTCCTCTTTCACTATGTACAACCCCATAATCTTCAATATGCACATGCATGCATAGACAGCACGCACGCACATTCATATAGTTCCAAACTGACATGCACACACATAAATACTACACATGGATATCACACACATCCTCATAACTACCACATACTTCACAGTAACACACAGTCACACAGACACCTTTACATTCACACACCACTCACATACTCAGACCACACTCACATGCCAAACAAATATCCACATTCATAGTCCAGTGTCCCACATGCAGATACGTACATACACACTCACTGCCAATTACACACCACACACTCTGACATTCTCAGACAGACGTGCAGACGCACAGATCCACACATACCACAAAGCCCATAGACACATACTCCCAAACCACACAAACACAATATTGAGTATCCCACAGACACAGCACATTCATCAAACACTCAAGTACGTTACTTGGCCCTGAAGTTCTAACAGTGAATAAAACAGGCTTGCCCTCACGGAGCTGACTGAGGGAATGAAGAATAAGGGAGATTTGAACACAGTAAGAGACGAGATGTGGCACTGTAGGATAAACACTGGACTGCAACATTGGTTTGAACCACAAGGTCGGGGGTTTGAACTCACCATCCGCTCCTGTGAAACTCTGTGTGGGCTCACTATGAGTCAGAATCGACTCGATGGCACGTAACAGTTTAACAGGAGATTAGGAACCGGGGGATGGGGGCACTTGATGGCAGAGGTTTCAGCAAAAGTTGTAAACTCCAAAAACTCAAGTCCTCTGATGCGTTTCTACCCATATTCTCTGAAAAGAAGAATGAATCTTGAGACTCTCGTCTGTTCCAACAATTTAGGGTAGAAAAATGGCCTTCATCAAGATCAGTTTAAATCAACCTTAAGCTGTGCTTTAGAAATCCTGGTGAATCATTTGTTGTTTTCAGGGTGTGCAGCATGCAAGATCACAGTGTTGGTACCATGGATGTTTACCGAGTTCCCATCATGGCAACCCTGACTCTGAATGAAGTGTAGAGTAAGGGAGACAGGGACAGGGGGCTGGTGAGGGAAACTTACTCTTTTAGCATGAACCTTTCTCCCCAGCTGGATGGAGTTACTGATATTTTTATTCATGAAATTGTTTGGGATAATTTGTCTTGGAGATATTTTTTTATTTATGTGTAGTCATTGTATAGAATGTGTTCAGGTGACATTGAGGTTGAAAAGATTTTATTTCAGTAAACAAAGAAAAAGGCACCCAGAAGATGGTATAGTTTCTTCAAGGTTCATACTTACCGAGTACCTGTCTTCTCACCCACAACTCTGGCTTCTCACCTATCTGCTACACACACTGTTGTTGTTGTTATGTACCGTGGATTCGGTTCCAACTCATAGTGACCCTGTGCAGGCTTTCTGAGGCTATAAATCTTTACGGAAGCAGAAGGCCTCGTCTTTCTCATGCATAACAGCTGGTAGTTTCTAACTGCTGGCCTTCACTATGCTACCAGAGCTACACACACTAAGTATGTATAAAAGGGGCTAAGTTCACTCTGGTTGTTCAAAGTCTGTTTACCAGTGGAATGACTACCCCTGACTTTGAAATTTTTCTCGACTTCATATTGATTTTAATTACCAAAAAAAATTTTTAAATATATGATCCAATAAAAAATACTAAAGTCAAAATAAATAGCTGCCCCAATTTTCTTTTTTTTTTTTCTTGCAAGGAGGGAAACAGCTTAAAATTGTGAGCTGCAATGCTAAAACTGTCATTGTTCCAGTGCTAGTCATGATAATCAAAGGGATGTTAAGAATGTATTCCGTTTCTGTGTTCAAATGTCTGTTATCCTTAAATATGAAGACCTAAAGTAGCTTCCCTTTTGTGTTTGCAGTATGGGAGTCTGCTGAATACTTTCAAATCAAAGAACTTTATTCTTTTCCATTGTTCCCTCAGACAGCCTCTGTGTCCTGGAATATCCGAACATTGTATTCAACAGTGCCTGAAGATGCAGAGAGCAAAGCAGAAAGTTTACTGGTGAAAGAGGTAAATGGGATCATCCTTACCCCTTTATTTATGAAGGTTTGGCTTCCCTCCAGCTATCTCCATACAATGTTGCTTTCTGATTCAGAGATTCCAGTGAGTGTTCTTCTTGTTGTATAGTGCCTTCAAGTTGGTTCTGACCCATAGCGACCCTGTATAGGGTTTCCAAGGAGCAGCTGGTGAGCTTGAACTGCTGACCTTGCAGTTCAAACAACTTTGCAGTCTGGCCCATTAACCCACAGCGCCACACCAGGAGTTGGTGTATTTCAACCTTCATCATGGTGCTTTCCTGCGCTCCCCCCCCCCCCATGATGTATTTTCCATTATCTAATTTCTATTCCGGACTCCTCCTGGTGTGGTGCAGTAGGATAAGCACTGAAATGCTAACCGCAAGGATAGTGGTTCAAACCCACTGGCTGCTCCTTGCAAACCGTATACAGGGTCACTATGAATCAAAATGGACTCAACAGCACTTAACAAACAAAACGTTTCCAGCCAAGTTTTGATTATTTATTTATTATAAGATTTTTCTAGTTATTTTTGCTTAAAATCCCCACATTGAGAAACATTCAAGAGCTTTTAAATTTTTTTCCAAGTTTCAGATATGTAGTATTCAGTGTAAATCCCGACGTAATTCATCAACATGATTCTGTGCATTGAGGGACAAAAGATATCCTGGTTACGTGGGAAATTGTGCACATGGCTTCTGGAAGACGTTCGGTCTAAGCAGTTTTAAGGGAAAACATTTCATTTAGGAGTCAGGGCCTTCTTTCTTCAATTTGCTGTAATCCACATCACTGAGTAGCACTGGTATTGCTCATTGGGACCCATGTTTGTTCCATGGTTCTGGGTTATTTTTTCTGTCCCAACTGACATCTAGATTAAACAATGCCAGACGCATGACACACTGACTGTACTGCTCAGTACTTCCACTGCCAATAATACGAAGAGAGGGATCGAGCTCCGGTATTTCTTGGCCTGACTGAGGGTCTGGCAAAGCATGTTTGTGGAGGAGGCCTCAGGTCCTGAAGGAGAAAACGAAGTTGGCAGGCCCAGAATCTAGGACTCTCTGCTCCATGTTTCCCTAAGAACTTTTAATAGAGACAGTTAATATTATTTGGGAAGCATTTCACTGATTTGGACTGAGTTGTTGTTAAGTGTCCTTGAGTTGGTTCTGACTCATCACGACCCTAGATAGGATTTCTCAGGAGTGGCTGGTGGGTTGGAACCATGCACCTTGTGGTTAGCATTCCAGTGCTTAACCTGCTGCACCACATTGAGCATTGTTGTTGTTAGGTGCCATCGAGTCAGTACCAACTCATAGTGACCCTATGCACAACAGAATGAAACACTGCCCAGTCCTGGGCCAACCTCACTACTGTTGCCACACTTGAGTCCATTGATGCTGACTCTTGGCCAATCCATCTCGCTGGGGGTCTTCCTCTTTTTCTCTGACCCTCCACCTTACCAAACATGATATCCTTCTCCAGTGACTGGTCCCTCCTGACAATATGTCCGAAGTATGAGAGATAAAGTTTGGCCATCCTGACCTCCAAGGAACACTCTGGCTGCACTTCTTCCAACACATACCTGTTGGTTCTTTTGGCAGCACATGGCACTTTCAATATTCTCCTCCAACACCATAACTCAAAAGCATCAATTCTTCTCTGGTCTTCCTTATTCACTGTCCAGCTTTTGCATGCATATGAGGTTATTGAAAATACCATGGCTTAACACTGAGCTTTAGGAAAGGCCAATTTATGTGAGATTCTGGATAATCAAGTTACTGTTTGAAAGACTTGTACATTTCTTTTAAGTATGAACTATGAAAATAATTAATGAGAAAGACCATATAAACATGTTTAAGAAACTGATAAAAGTTTGTTGACTCAGCATCTACTTGCATTCAGTTGCTGTATGAGAGTCTTATGAAAGTACTTCTTCTCCCAACCAGATTGCAGGTAGTTGGCAGATAGGGATTGAGCCCTACCATGCAAGTCCATAGAAACCAATTAACAGCTGTTTATCAAATGAATGAAGGAATGAGTGAATGAATTAATTAAAAGTCTATAATGATCACATTTAGCCTACACTCAAAAAAAAAAAAAAAAGCAATTCACTGTCATTGAGTCCATTTGGACTCACAGTGATCCCGTGTAAGGTTTTGAAGGTATAATCTTGATGAGACCAGAAAGTATCTTTCTCCCACTGAGTGGATGATGGGTTTCCACTGTTGGCCTTGTAGTTAGCAGTCCAGTGCTTATTCTTAAATTTAGCCTAGTCTAGGCCATGTTGAAAGTAATAGAGTCACAATGGAATTTTTAATTCTGAGAAAGTGGTGTTTCTGATTTAGAATTTAATTAAAATGACATCCAATAGCAAAATTCTCTCTCTCTCTCTCTTTCTGTGTGTGTGTGTGTGTATATATATATATAAAGTGAGAGAGAGAGACTCCGGTGTGATGCTGTAGGGTAAGTGCAGGGCTGCAAGGTCAGTTTGAACCACAAAGTTGGTGGTTCAAACTCACCAGAAACTACTTGGAAATCTATACATGGTTGCTGTGCATCAGAAATGACTTGATGGCTCTTAACAACATGTATATTAGAAGATGTCCTAATTCAAAATGATCTTTTGGAAATAAATATGAAACCATGGAATTGGGAAAAAACAAATATTTTATGGCAAACAATAATCTAGATTGAATAAAACAAAATGCAATACATATGATAAAAACAATACGCATAGCAGAATCTGATTGTACACTAGGACACTATGAACACCAGTGAGGCTAACTTATAATAATACAACTATATAAACAACTATATAGAAACTATACAACTATATATATATAAACCATATTTATTTATTTATAGACATATGAATGTATGTGTTTATATTTAATGATTTAATGTGCCAGACTGCAAAGTCGGTTTGAACTGCAAGGTCGGTGGTTCAAGCTCACCAGCAGCTCCTTGAAAATCCTATCCAGGGTCGCTGTGGGTTTGAACTTCTGACCTTGTGGCTCACAGTTCACTGCTGACCCTACAGCCCCACACCAGGACTCCATCTATATATGGACTAAAGCACTGGACCTCAAGATGAGTTTGAACTACAAGGTCAGTGGTGCAAACTCACTAATCACTCCTCAGAAACACTATGTTTAGGGTTGCTATGAATGGGAACCTACTCAATGGCACTTAGCAACAATAACAACAACATTCTGTGTGTGTGTGTGTGTGTGTGTGAGTGTGTGTGTGTGTGTGTGTGTGTGTGTGTGTGTGTGTGTACATATTCACATTCTCGTAGAAAGCCGTATACAGGTCGCTGTGAGTCAGAATCGACTTGATGGCACTGGGTGTGGAGTTGAAGGGGGTAGAAAGATTGCACATTAGAGATAACCTCTGGATAGACAGCTTTATAAACAGTCTCCACTTTACTGATTAGAAGATATATGGCATCCATACCACAATGTTTTATTTATGGTTGCTTGAGAGCAAATCTCATTATCTGGTAGGCCATCACTATTAATTTAAAAATAAATGTTTGGGCAAATCATTTTCAGTACTAATATCAGAATTATTGAGGTCAGGTCTACAAAAGTCGTGCTGAAAATGTATGTATCCATTTAGAAAAGGATCTGAAATGCTTACGATGTTGAGTCCTTAACTAGGAACATTTAACCAAAACTTCTTGTGTGCACTTCAGTAAAATGCTGTACTTCCTCCATAAATATTTTTAACTTGCTTGTTAAATACATTTTATAGTTTGGCCACAATCCATTTCCTTTTCTTACTACCCATTGGTAAGATGTTTTTAAAGCTATTGGGTTTTGAGTACATATAGCTAGTGTTTGGGGATATGTGTAGGAGTCTTGTTGTGGTACTGTAGGATAAGCACTGGACTGTAAGGTCAGTTCGAACCTCAAGGTCTGCGGTATGAACTCATAAGCAGCTGCTATATAGGGTTGCTGTGAGTCAGAACCGAGTCCACGGCACTTAACAACAACAAGATAGCTATCTTATTAAGTTCCATCATTTAAATAGAAAGACAAAAACATAAACAACCAAAAAAAAAAAAAACAGAAGAACTAATCCTTAGGGCTCCTGAGATTATAAACCTTTAAAGGAGCAGATGGCCATATCAGCCCCATGTGAAGGTGCTGGTGGGTTTGAACCGTCAATTTTGCTATTCACAGCCCAGCTCTTTACCCACCATACCACCAGGGCTCCTTCTCATCTGATGTTGTTTTAGTTGTTAAGTGCTGTCTAGTCAGTTCTGACTCATAGTGAGCATCCATATAAGAACTCCAGAAAAATTCCCAGGTTGATCCTTGTATGTCTACAATTCTCTCTGGAAAGATCATCCTCAGCTAAGCATAAGATAACCACAAAATTTACTTTCCTTTTGATATTTCTCCTGGGGAAAATATTTTCTTCTTCAGTGCCACCTTAGTCCCTTAAACTAATTGCAGCCTAGGGTTATTCCTCCTTTTCCCACTTCTAACTTCTATGTCTCGTTTTTTCCTGAGAACTGTGGAGCTGTAGGATCAGCACTGGACTAGAAACCACAAGGTCAGCATTTCAAACCAACTAGTTGCTCCTCAGAAAACCTTTACAGGATCATTATGAGTCAGAACAGACTTGATGGCACTTAACAACAACAATTCAAAGGAGGAGTCTTGCTGTGATACTGTAGGATAAGCAATAGACTACTGGTGTAGTGCTATAGGATAAGCACTGGATTACAATGTTAATTTGAACCACGAGGTCAGCAGTTCAAATTCACCAGCCACTCCTTGGAAATCCTGATCAGTATGAATTGGAAGCAACTCTAAGGCACAACATATATACCTGGTGGTGTTTGTGTTGCACCATGGAGTTGATTCTGACTTATAGTGACCCTGCATACAGCTTCCGGTGTTGTAAATCTTTACGGGAGCAGAAAGACTCATCTTTCTCCCACAGAGCTGCTGGTAGTTTCGAACTGCCGACTGTGAGGTTAGC